TCCTCCTATTAATATCTAATAATACAAATAATACAATTCAATAACGTGCTTTAACCACCAGGTGTCCCTTTCTATCAGCTGTGCACCGTTATGGTGTAAATACAGCCAATCTACCAATTGGATCAAATATAAAAGTCAGCTGAATTAGTGTTGATACTGCAAGGAGACGTATTGTGTGAAAAGAAATGTAAGATGTTGTTTAATTGCTTATATATTTATGATCCACGTCAAGTTTTCAGTTTTGGCGGCAGTTCTCCTGTTTGTCTAGAAGTCTTCTCAGCAGGGCTCTATAAATAGAGAACTACGGCAGATATGTAATATTTAATGCAACCGAACTAATGCTTTTTTTAAAAACTGAATTGAAGTGAGTTATATTATGGTGAACTTTATTTCAAATTGTGGGATAAATTAATGAACAACCCAACTCAGTATTGTGTGTGTGTGTGTGTGTGTGTGTGTGTGTGTGTGTGTGGGTGTGTTTGTGTCTTCGAAAACCAAACAAATTAGCATGAAGTAATATTATAGCTGAAAACATCAGCGTAACAATAGTTTCCTGAATCACACATCGCCAGCAATCGCTTTTGATGCCGATCATTTCAAACATCACCCTCAGATACTGTATGGCCATGGGTGAGGGAGATTAATATCTCCGCTGCTCTCAGTATTGTCGCTAACTTCATCACCTGTCTCTGCCTCTTCCGCTTCCTCCCTAACGTCCGCCATTCTCATCCCTCTTGTTTAGAGAAGACCAGGAAATTATGGATACATGGATTGTGTTCAAATCAATAGGGACGCAATGACTCTAAATAATAATGATCACACCACCAAACGCAGATTAAAACTGAAGTAATGAGCCTGTTTTGAAAATGTAAGAATTAGAAAGTACAGGTACACAGTAACATCTGGAGTGTTAATTTAACACTCTGAGATAAGGACCATATTATGTTCACTGGCTCAGTGTTAAAATTGACTCTTTATGTGTTAATTTAATACTGCCCACTTAATTTAACACTTAAATGTCAACACTGAGCCAGTGAACATATGGTCCTTATCTCAGAGTGTTAAATTAACACTCCAGATTTTACTGTGTATTTGTGTTAAAAATGTAAGAAGTTAAAGTAAAAAGTCGTCAGAAAAATAAGTAGTGGAGTAAAGTACTCATACCAGAAACATGTACTTAAGTACAGTAACAAAGTATTTGTACTCCACTACTTCCCACCTCTGTTTAAATTGCAAGAACCATTGGTGATACTCAGGGTCTCACATTTACAACAGAACACAAACAAAATCTGAATTCAATCAACTTCTAAGAGCCAAAGTGTAACATCTGTGGATTTACATGTCTACTAACTGGGTCATTCAGCATTGAGTCAGCAATTCCTGCTTCTCTTAAATCACTTCAGAAAGCTGCTAATAAGTAGAGGAAAGGTAGATGTTGCAGGTTTTGAACTTATAATTGGATTAGAGGTCAGTTGAAGAGGAAATGAGAGTAAGACGGGATTAACACTCTAACCCTATCTGGGCTGTTGGCGTAGGAGCTCCGCTTTATCAATTATTTTGAGCTGCTCTTCATCCTCATTTTGTTCTATATTTTTGAAACAATTTTCCTTTGTTTTAGTCTCATGCCAAATGAGGGTTATGCACTTGTTTGTCAGCATAAAGTCGTAGCTCAAGCACAAACGAAGAGAGCTCAGAGATCAAATCGCAGCCTTGGGAAGAACCACAGGATCTTTTTGCAGACACACTATACAAATGACTCAGTGTCTGTCCAGTGTGCCAATGTGTAATTGACAGTTGTGGAAAAGTTATAGCGCATATTTTACATATTCCAATCCAGCTTTAAATGAATCTTTGTGCTGCTCACTGTGAAGCTACTGTATAGGCCGAATCATTCTCTTCCTGATCTGCAAATCAGGTGACAGTAACAGTATTTTTTGTAGGAATCGAGTTAAACATCTCTTTGTTGGGGCGTAATTCAGCTTTAGTAAGGTTATTTATTGACTTATTTTGGTTGGATTGTGTCTAACTGTGGCACCACCGGTTATTTTGGTCAAAGGTAGCCTAAAATAGTGCCCCCACCAAAACAGTTTTGGATATGGTAGATTTGGAGTGTGTGTGGCAGTAAATAAAGACTTTGAGACAGCTGAAGGCACAGGGATGTTCTTAAAGTCTTTGGGTGGTCCAACCTCTCCAGGAGATTTAGCCTACTTTTTGCGAGCGCCAACGCCAAATAGTGGTCATTATTAGCAGACGAACCAACCAGGCTGGAATTACCTTCCAGCCAACGGCAGATGTGAACGTCTAAACAATTCTCCCACTCTGTTTTGACATGCTCTATTACAGGTTCTGCATCCTGCACCATGATCCAAAAAAAAATTGACAGCTCAATTAAATCATTCATTTTCTGGTCTGATGTCATCAAAAAATTGCCATAATTGCGCAGGCCTGGTGTCTCTGGTCTGTGACTGGCGAAGACACCAGCTCTGGGCGAGGTGTTCCTATAGAGGAGAGTAGACTGGTGGATGTTCCCTGTTGGATCTGTGTGTACTCTTTGTCTGTTAAAGCATGTAGGATGTACAGTGCCCTAAGAGGAACACTATGGACCAACACAGTGGGCTCTCTATTGAAATTCTTTACAGTATAAAATCATGTATTCTATTATACTTTATCTGGCATTGAATCTAGGGCCCCGGCTTCAAAGTTGTAGTTATCTTATTTCCAGCCCATTAATCCATTTTCCAATGTTTGCCTACATGCTGCTGTATTATAGATCATAGTATTTTTTGATGCAACTTGTTGTTGACATATCCAACTCTATCAAAAAAACTATAACAAACTGTCCTTTAGCATTACAAACACGGTAAATAATTCGGACGTCACATGGGTGAACGCATAGCGGCTGAAGATCCAGATTATAATTTTTTCGTCAGAGAGACAAATACAGCACTAAAAGAGTGATTTTAACCTTTAAATTCATTATGTCGACCCATAAATTACCCCAAATAAAAAGCAAATGTTTATCTGCAATAATTTAGTGTGTAAATAAGCAACTGTTTGCTGACACATTGGCAATATACACGTTATAAAATATCAAATTAATACATAATAAAGTCTTCAGTCAATTATGTTGACGCAGCTTGCATTTGCTGTTTTTTTTGTGTGATTAATGTATTATAATATTCTGTCTATGAGCCTTATTTGATTTTTGCGATGAGGCTTGTGTATCAAGCTATACAGAGAGCTTTTCTTCAAAAGTAAGAGATCATACAGTTTATTTGTCCAAATGTCTGGGAAGAAGGTCTGAGGCTGCAGAAGTGGAAGCAGGTTGTTTTCTTCATCCTCTGCTTCTTCTCGAATGGCTCCAAGCCGAAGGGTTTAGTGCACAGAGTTTTAAAGGATGTTGCCAGTTGATCTTGATCACTGGTCCTTCCTCTTGGCCTGCTTCCTCTCTTACCTCACGCGTAGCTGTCCCACTTCTCTAGTTGGCCCACACTGTCTCTACCTGCCAGACACCCAGGGGTAAGGGTTATACACTCAGCCTGTTGTGTAAGTGTTGTAAAGAGATAATACTCTTTGCCGAGACAAGCTTTCAGACTGTACTTTCACCTGCCATCGTTAACACAGTTATCTTCAAATCCCCGGGCCACAAACAAAAGCGTCACAGTTAGCTCTCAGGATAAATGGGACATGCTCCATATTTTAGGCTTTTAAACACACCGTTATGAAAGAAATCCACTCTCTTACACTTCACCTTAAGGGCAGACTTTTACGTTTTCCAGCCAATACTGTTCTGTAATGATATACAATTATGTTGCAGAGCATTTCTGCCTACATAAACTGTCCATATAAACTGTCGCTGTATGAGTACATTTCGAGACGGAGAAATCCTAACGAATTAAAACCTCAAAACCTTCACCCCACTGATATTTGATCTAACTTCAAAAGCAGACTGTTGGGACTTGCATCTCCCATGTCCTCGCTTCCCACAACTGTGGAGACATCCAGCAGCAGGGACGTCTCTAAGATCTGAAGTGCAGCGGGTCGACCGTGGGAGTAAGTCTCTGGGCCTTGCAGCACTGGGAGCGTGCTTGCTATGAAAACAGTCTGAAAGTGGTTGCTTCCAAAAAGTTGTCAAGGCTGATTTATAAACACATTTTTTAAAGGGATCTTGTGAAAAGCACTTGCTCGTGTAATATCAAGTAATTTCATACACTGAATGTTCCTTTAACCAACTTCAGCGTACTCACTGTGTACACCACCAGAACTAAAAAAAGACTGAGCAGCACGGAATGAGGCTTTAGTCATTCTGAATAATATGATTCCACTTCAATATTAGGATGATATCATTTCAAACATTTTGTGTAAAATAGCTCTCTAACGTTGTCACACCTAAACGCTAAATGTTACAGAAAATGGTGTGAGCACTTAAAAATGGTTTACATTTACTACTTGAAGGATGGCACCCAGAAGAAAATGTAATGGTTGGTTGCAAGGTCAGCATGATATCTGATCTGTGATCAGATCTGTTGTTCGACTGTTGTGAGGTTATAGACTTACACGCAGTGCCCTCTGGTGGTAAACACGTACAAACAAATACAAAAGTTCCAACAGTCATTATATTATTTGTAATAACGAAAGTTAATTATTTTTGCCTGATGTTAACTACACACCTGCACACACACTATAGACATCCATCCAAGGCTCAGAAAGGGTACATCTGTGTTACATAGTGCTGAAGTTCTTGGTGAGCTAACACACATGTAGTAACTGTGATCCGGTGTCAGGCTGAACTTTGACACGACAACAACAACTGTTGCACTGGAAATAACAGGTGCAGCCAAAACACAGAGTAATACATGAGACTGAATACGGATGCAATGAGGTCACTGAATTGCGGCTTCAGCATCACAAATAAGAAAGTAATCAATTAATATGTCTCTTTAAAATATCATTAAGTGAATAACCTTTAGCATTATATATTTGTGTCTACTTCAGCTTCTATATTTAGTTGTTGTCATGTGTCGTGCAGCGTGTGGGACCCTGCAGCAGGACACGCCTCTGGGCTGAATGGAGCGTGCGCTACAGTCCGACCTGCAGAGGAGACAAACAGTTGTTTTAAAAAAATAACTAATTTCACGGTTTGCAATAAGTACCCTATAGACATTATAGGTTCCTTGTTAATCGAGTAAATGCAGCGATGACGCGAGAGGAAGATCTCATCCGGATTGCAAAAAAACTGGACAAGATGGTGACTCGGAATAACACGGTGAGAACTTATTTTGACACCCACAGGTGGCGCGTCGTCCCGCCACCTCGTGCTGCACAGCAGGCCCTTGAACGTCTCTTCTGGAAATGTTTCTCCTCCGATTTACCTTGCATTACGTTTGATTTCGTTTGTATCGGTGTAATACTTCGACATTTTGCATTTGAAATATGAGCCTGACTGTACTCCAACAAATTATCAACAGGTGTTTGGCTCTACTGTGCCGCGCTCTATGGAACAAGTTTTGTCAGCTTTTCGACAATTTCTGCAACTTTTTGCAGTTTGACGTTTTAAAAGTGACTCGTTCGAGAGAAAGTAAACAGAGCGACCATTGGTCAAGGTCGTTTGTGAATGTGTGTTTGCGTGCGTGCGTACGTGCGTGTGTGTTGTGAACTGCAAACAGGACGTTGTTTCATGGCGCGAGTCACGGAGTGCAGAGTGCATTAGAGGGCTTTAAACGACAATGCAGTAGCAGCCTACTCAAAATAATCCATGGAAACTTTGATTTCTAGAATGAAGACAACAGTCTCACAAATGACTATGTAATGCCTGTTATGATATATTATTTAAATGTATGAATTAATATGTATTTGTCTAAAATGCTGATTTACATTACAACAGTGAAACTGTTTCTGCTCACACACGATCTGCACTTTCTTTTTTGAGATGTTCATATTTGCATGGAATCAAATCTGCATTAGACATCTTCATGACATATTTCTAAATAAAACCATTCAATATGTACAGGTTAAAACGTCTGACTTGTTTTTGCATTTGACTATTTTGTGTGTTCAGGAGGGCGCCATGGACCTGCTGAAGGAACTCAAAAGTTTCAATATGACACTCAAACTTCTCCAGGTATGTATTTATTTATAGAAGGACCATGCATACAAATATGCACCAGTATGTTGTCTTGAGTCTAATTTACCTTATACAGTTTGCTTTTTAACATAGGATTTATTGATAGTCATAAACCATCATGAGAAATAAGATGACTGCTATTACTTAAGCTCCAAATGTATGTTTGTTTAAGGAAACGAGGATCGGCATGTCAGTGAACGGAATCAGGAAGCACTGCACAGATGAGGAAGTCATTGCCTTGGCAAAGGTCCTCATTAAAGACTGGAAAAGACATTTGGGTACTTGACACTGATGCATGATTTACTCAGCAGTAGAAGCATACTTTGTATGAACCGAGTGATTTACTAATATGATTCCTCCACACAAACACTCACACAGATACTGAGAAAGCATCCCTCATGAAGAACGGTTTGGACTCCAGCAACACGGCCGGGTCTCCAAGCAGCCCCCCCTCTGACACACAGAGCAGGTCAGTACTTGGACAGCTGCTGCACCGAAACCCCACAGCTGGCATGATATGTAATGAAGAATCAGAGACAAGAAGAGAGTGTTGAGTGTGAACTGCTTTCATTTAATCTGAAATATGATGTAGTAAAAGATGGAAGTGTAGATGTTCAGGGAAATAGAGAGATGTTTATCATTAATTGCCACAATACACAACAGTAGACCTAGAGTACTTGTACATTTGTATTTATTAAATATAGTATTCATAATAGTGTATATTATATTTATATTACATAGAAATAGTTTAACCCAGCATCTCCTTCATAAGAAGAACTACAGCAGCCTATCCAGTCAATAGTTATTTACACTGTGTAAATATTTTCTCTTTTTTTAAACGTTTCCATGGAAGCTTTTAAATCATATTTTGTCTGTCTACGTTCCTACCTGCACCTATAGGCATGTCATGATGGATGCTTCTTTCTCTGAGGCTTGCATTTGCATGTTTTTCTAGGTAAACATGTTTACGAGTGGTATTTCTAAAGAGGCTATATGAACGAAGTGATCATGCATGGTGTTTCCATCTGAGACTGACATTGTTTGTCCCCATTTGGATTTAATGTATTCCACTATTCGCTGTATCTGTAATTAGAGTCCTATCTGTAAAGGCTGTGAAGGCATCTCTGAGTTTGTACCGATACAGCCGTTAACTATTACTGAGTTAATCAGCTCAGCGCACAACTGAAGTAATATAGATGACCCGTCAACATCAGTCAGTTTAATCCTATATGAAGGGGGCTTAAGGTGCAACAACAACAGACCTGACGTAAACTATACGTTTTTCTGGCTCTGGTAAAGAGGTAAATATGATACTCCCTTTGTTTTTGTTAGTCACAGAAGACTGGATATCAAATCTAAACACGACTCAGATCCTGACAAAAAACACTCTGATAAAAACAGAACAGAAAAACACAATGATGAACACAGAAACAAAAAGAGACACCAAGATGAGCCCAGCGATGAAAAACACCTGGAGGAGCCCCAATATGAGAAACACCATCCAGAACCAAGGAAAGAAAGACCTTTAGGAGAACACCTGGAAGAGTTCAAAAAGGAAAGACACCCAGAGGAGCCGAAGAAGCACAACTACCCAGATGACATGAAGAAGGACAAATATAAGGAGAGTAGCAGACACGAGAGGCCGCCGATCGAACCCCAGAGAAAGAAACCAATATTTTCCAAACCACTATTCGAAAGGTGAGACAGAAGTGGCTCAAAAATTGATTAATACACATCAAAACATGCGTCAGAGTTTCAGATTAAATAATGTATTGCAGGAGAGGAGTGATGGACTGCACTGTTCTTTATCCCACCCGGGACCCCTCGCCCCCTCGCCCTGCCCGGGCCCCACTCCCTGCCCGGCCCCCTCTCTCAGTTAGACGCCCCTCAGTGGACCTGAAAAACGACAGGTCTGGACTCATGCATGGCGTGCGTTGAAGAGCATGATGTACGGAAATATAACTGCACCACATAACCCTTTCTGAGTCACTCGAATGCACTGACATTTGTGTCTTCAGTTTTATTAGCAGACTCTTGGGCTAACAGGATACTCTCTGTGCATGGGTGCATGATGTGATGGGTCAGTGAGGTGTGTCAGAAAATACTTTTGATTTCACTGGAACAGCATTGGGTACTCTTCAGTTGCCCCTCTCTGACTTTTCTGTTGTGGTATTTGTTCAGGAAGGACGGTACAGACTCTTCCTCCCAACATCCTCGTCCTCACACTCCTCTCCCCGCCTCTCCGCCGACGAAGCGGGTTTCCGTGGAAGTAAAGAAAGAAAGGTCAGGCGTGCTTCGGTGCATGGTGGACTGAGTTAGTGCAGAGAAATGTGAGATTTCTCAAACAAATGTTGAATTCTTTTCACACCAGGAAGTTTCCACTGGATCCCAATGCTCCATTTGCTCCTCTTCCTCTTCACCTTCATCTTCCTCCACCCAGGTCAGGGTCTGCATGCCCACTGCGTTGCCTCACATAAGTAATTGCTTATAATATCCACTCTCACCATGAAGCGACGCCTCTCAACTCAAAGGTGTTTTCTTTTATTCAGAAAGGAGCCACCTGACCCCAACGCTCCTTTTGCTCCACTTCCATTTCACCTTCACCCCCAGGCTCCTCCCCCGCAGCGCCACTTACCCAATGTGAAAAAAGAAAGGTCTGGATCAGATGAGTTCTCATTACAGGACCGGAAGTGTCTGAGAGCAATATTTTTGAAAAATTATAATTGTTCCTCTCTGAATCGAAACCTTGTGTTGTTTGCCGCAGCAGAAAGGAGTCATCAGAATCTAAACCTCCACCACAGAAGAAGACATCAGACCTTGTAAAAAAAGAAAGGTCCGGGATTCTGGAAATTATTCATTCTGAAAAAATTCTGGAGGATCAGTGACTTCAATCCATGTTTTTCGGTTTCTTTTTACGTCGCTGCAAAATAAATAGATTTACACAGTTTACAAGGATACATTTAATCAGCTTAAGGTTTTATTCACTATGTTTCTTGCATTTCTACAATATATGCTGTAAAAAGAAATTATTCACTTCTTTACCTACAGTGTAAAGGGAGAGCAATAGCTAACTGTAAAGAGCAAATATATTATTTTGGTAATATATATGGACATTTGTTTTATTTTTCCAGGAAAGAGTCATCGGATAGCAAAGTGCCTATTAAACACTCAGATGAGGCTAAGAGAGAAAGGTTGGTCACTCATGAGTATGAACACCTGTGATGGTTATATGTGCCTTGTTGTTCACTTTCTGCAAGTGGATTTGTCTAAGAATCAAACAAATGCTTCCTTTTTCAGGAAAGATTCATTGGACTCAAGACCGCCCCTTCCCAAGAAGCCCAGTTTGGATGTCAAAAAAGAAAAACACAGGTGTGCAGAAACAAATGAATTCAACTACACTGAACAAAAATATAAACGCAACACTTTTGTTTTTGCTCCCATTTGATTAGACAGCATGATTATTGCACAGGTGTGCCTTAGAATGGCCACAATAAAAGGCCACTCTGAAACGTGCAGTTTTGCTTTATTGGGGGGGTCTGGGGGGGGGTCCGAAAACCAGTCAGTATCTGTTGTGACCACCATTTGCCTCACGCAGTGCAACACATCTCCTTCGCATAGAGTTGATCAGGTTGTTGATTGTGGCCTGTTAGGGTTAGGGTTTAACCCTATTAGGGTTAGGGTTTAACCCTAACATGTCACCCACTGACATGTTAGGGTTAGGGTTAAACCCTAACCCTAACAGGTTACCTAACATGTCACCCCCCCAATAAAGCAAAACTGCACGTTTCAGAGTGGCCTTTTATTGTGGCCAGCCTAAGGCACACCTGTGCAATAATCATGCTGTCTAATCAGCATCTTGATATGCCACACCTGTGAGGTGGGATGGATTATCTCGGCAAAGGAGAAGTGCTCACTGTCACAGATTTTTTCAGATTTGTGAACAATTTTTGAGAGAAATGGTTATTTTGTGTATATAGAAAATGTTTTAGATCTTTGAGTTCATCTCATGAAAAATGGGAGCAAAAACAAAAGTGTTGCGTTTATATTTTTGTTCAGTGTATATATTGCCTTTGAATCAACACTAACTACACTTTATCGGTGTCTCTTGTGTTGCAGGAAGGACTCCTGCGACTCAAAGCCTGGCCCACCAGTGAAACATCCGTCAACTGACTCCAAACCTGACAGGTAAAATCTCACTCATACTTGGAAATGCAAAGGAAATGTATATTTACTGAAAGTGTCTCATTATTCACTAGGCGGAAATCCATCGATTCAAAGAGAAGCAGCTCACCGCCAGCAAGGAAGCTACCAGCTGAAAGGTCAATCATTTTTCCGTTAAGGTTTCAGAGGGTTTCTCTATAAAAAGCAAGAAGATGATGCAATTGACTTTGTTTTACAGGAGAGAGTCTCACGGCTCTAAGACTCCTCAGCCTGGACCTCCACAGAGGAAGCCCTCTACCGACAGCATTGAGAAGTATTTCAATTATTTATTTATTTTGTCAATAGTAGAGTCATGTAGGCTAAGGTTTATGATGTTTGGTGATGATTATTTAACATTTAATCTACCTGAAATACATTCATTTTAAGTAACTTATATTCAGGTAAACAAACCTAAAGCCCATAAAGACATATGAATCATTTGAGACCAAAGCTAATGAGGGTTTTATGCTGCCCCAAAAAAGCAGATCACAAAAGCAGGTAACTCCTTTCCTTCCTAAGGTCAAATCAGGCCAAACACACAGGAGGTGTTGCTTCACACACTTTGAATGCTATGCTTTAATGTGTCCTTTTTCTATAGGAGGTGCAAAGCCGAAACTCCCAAAACTCCCACCACCCCGACCAGCCCCATGTCCCCCAGCTTCAGTTCCCCCGGGGGGCCACTGTCCCCTCATTATGCTACTGGGGACTCCATCAGAGACAAGTGCATTGAGTTGCTGGCAGCTGCCCTGCGCGCAGACAGTAAGGCTAAGATTAGACTTTATCACTGAGAATACACACTACTGCAGCTGTTGTGCTCAGAATTCACTGACAAAGAAACACATACAAAAACAGACGGCAGAGTGTAAATCTACAGCAAGGTACCACCAAGGGAACACACACAAATGTCACTGTGATGTACAGATTTACTTTTGTTTCTGGTCTTTACAGACGACTTCAAGGATTTTGCAACCAACTGTGACAGCATGGCTGCAGAGATTGAAGATCATATCCTTCAATTTAACTAATAATCTTTCTCTATGTTTGGTCATCAAACTTGAAAGTATCCTGTTTGACATTATGACTGTGATCAGATCTACCTTGACTGTGCGGTTGCACATATCTACCAGGAATCAAAGGCCACTGATATGAAGTATAAAAACAAAGTCCGCAGCCGTATCAGCAACCTGAAGGACCCGAAGAACCCTGGGCTTCGCAGGAACGTCCTCGCAGGAAACATTGACTTGGGTCGCATCGCCAGCATGTCGGCTGAGGTACAGAACACCACCAATTCATACTAAACCATCCATGAACTCCTTTTGTGATGCTCGGATCTGTTGGTGTGCCACACTTTTATGTCGATCTGCCCCAGTTTCTCACATATTTGCTTAATGTAGGAGATGGCCAGCGAGGAGCTGAAACAGCTGAGGAACGTTCTCACCCAGGAAGCCATCCGGGAGCACCAGATGGCCAAAACTGGAGGCACCTCGTCCGACATGTTCCAGTGCAGCAAGTGCAGGAAGAAGAACTGCACTTACAACCAGGTAAACACACACACCTGTAGTATGCAATACAAATGTCATAACAGTTTCATACAAGTCATATGATAGAATCTCACAAAATAAAAAACAGTGTCCTGTCCCATAAAAAAAATACTAAAGTATTATAGAATGTCATAAGAAGTGTCGTAAAGAATGTCATGGAAAAAGGTCATATGAAGGATGTCACGATTGTAATAACAAAGGTCATCGTATTGTATGTGATGACAAATCTAGTAAAAAAATCGTTGTATAGTCTGCCATAAAAAGAACATTGCACTTGTAATGGAAACTTCTGGAGCATGGAGTCGAAACCCAATGAAACACGGGGAGAGCTGAAACTTGATGGCAAACACTGAAGATTGATATGAACTTACGGCCTGAGAATTGACAAAGACATTTGCTGCAGCTACAAGGTGACACAGTCAACCAATTCTGAAGATCTCTCCCCAGTCCCATGTATTTAGCTAGCTCTGAGAGAAGAATCAACATGCTGCATAACAAGATAAAACAGGCAAAGCACTGTAACTCATCTATCAGCTGACCAGCAGGCAGGAATAGGGAGGCAAAACACTGAGTGCACAGCAGCCCAAGGTCGCACGCCTGTGCTCAACGGCAGTACAAACTGATAAACTGGGTCAAGGTTATGGGCCTAGGAACACATTTCCCCAACACCACTGTGTTAATGAAGAAGTGTTATACCATTTTATTCAATTAATCTCCTCATTGTATCCTCTTATGTCTGCAATGTTTACAGCTTCTTAATCCTTGTGTGTGTGTGTGTGTTTTAGGTGCAGACACGCAGTGCTGATGAGCCGATGACCACATTTGTCCTGTGTAATGAGTGCGGTAACCGCTGGAAGGTATGTATTTTGCCGACACTTGTTTCAATAACTCATAATGTCTTTTATACTTCATCAAACTCTTTCTTTTCTTTCTAAATTTCAGTTCTGCTGAGACCTTCCAGATGAACCGTGTTTTTTTTCTGAGCATATTGAACTTAATTATTTTCTATTATGGGGAGGGGGAGGAGATTATTGCAGCTAGTGATTTTAACAGATAAAGTGTTTTTAACAATTTTTACTTGACCTTTTTGAGGTTTTTAAGTATGTGCTGAAAACTGGTTTTGCTTTATGTTGAATTGAGAATGAAGGTCAGTTTGATGACCGTCAACACATCACAAAGATCATTGTGCTGTCATGATGCGAACACTATCCAGTTAATATGCTACGTGATATCATAGCGGTTGAAGTGCATATATCTTATGTATGTTTGCTTGTTAAACTCACATTTAATAAAGAAAATTCACAGTCTTAATCAGAGTTGATGCACCTTCATCATCAACGTCTTGTGGAGTATGGTTTGGATTACTTCCACTGCATAATATTTATCAGGAGCAATTGGGGTTTAAGTATCTTGCCCTAAGACACTTTGACATGTTGACTGCAGAGGGTCGAACAGCTGACCCCCCGATTTGCAGATCAGCGCACTAACCCCCGGAGCTTCAGCGGCCACGTTTCTTTCGGTATATTGTTTTTTATTATAATGTTTCAATAAACTGAATGGGACCAACTTAGATGATAAAAGAGCATAACATTTTTGAAATTGTCTGAAACTGTGATTAACTAATTGAAATCAAACAGAGAGTCAAATCTAACCATGCAGTAGACATGTAAATAATAATTGAATACCAACAATCAGCCATCAGTTATTTCACAGATACATTTTTTTCCAGAGATAAAACATTAGAAATATGGCATTTAAAAAGATACATTAAAGAGCAAAGAGAATACAAGTAAACATAAAACAAGCTAATAAACAATAACATAGGTAATACATGAATACAAGTTACAGTGCAGTGTAATTCAAAGCAGCGGAAAGAATAAGAGTCTTCAGCCTGGATTTAAAAGTAGTAAGAGTTGCAGCAGACCTGCCGGTTTCTGTCACTGCTGCTTAAAAACATGAGGACAGTTAATAGAGTAATACAAATCATAAAAGAACAGCTGAACAATGATATCCATTATTTTGTATGACAAAAGAAAACCTGGTGCTAATAGCAGGAGATCAGAGATGTGTTTAGGCCATAGTTTAAAGTGTTTCTGTTGCAGCTCTGAAATCATGCAGCAGGTGGCAACAGTTCACTGTAATTCAAACTCTGGCAGCGTCAGTTTCCACAATTACATTTTTCACTCTTGAAGTTACCTACCACAAATAAAGGAGACGCTTGCTTGTTAGTCCAGCTGGCTGCTAAAGCCACAATGCTGCTGAACACTAACATGACAATATTAAAGCCATTTAACAAAATAAACGTGTTTCTTGAACATTACTGAATTTGATTAATGAGAAATAAGCTTGTGCCTAGAGCAATGTGTAAATTATATTCTTCAAATCTGTGGTTGTATAGATTGGACTTTACTAATGCAGCACTTTCATTAAATAAATATAATATTTGGCAGTAATGGTCTGCAGAAAGAATGGAAAGGAAAGCTTGCTGGCTGCCCTCAGGCTGAGTCTCCACCATCTGGTTTCCTGTGAATTTAAACCACATTCATTTACTTCTTTTGCATCATTTCCAACATTACATGTCCTGTGTTGATGCACACAGAGCTCAGAAAGCATCAGCACTTACTGTGTGATTCTACACGGGTGCATCTGTTGTAATCATCGTTCATCCTGAAACCATGAACCTGAAATTCAATTGAACAGCTACATATAAAAGGAAGTCTCTCACAGCAGCAAGTTAAAAATAAATATTTAAGTGCCTAATTTGTTAATGGGCTCTGCCACATAATTCCTCATATTTTCACTAAGTGGCATCTGCTCTGTGACATCTGTGTTCCCAACAGTTGGTGAGAAGGGATGTTAGAAAATAAAAGATGCCGTATACCACTCTCCATACTTTACCCCAAATGAAGAGATCTAAATTTAAAAAAAGTGTTCATGCTTATTTGAATTTTGAATATATTTATAAGGACATTGCACAATTACATAAAAGTAATTACATTTGGACAATTTGGCATTTGTATTATATCATTGGCTTTTCACCCTTATATGTATAATGTATAATAACGTATTAGCTTTTCCAGCAGTCATAACACACAATACTTGTCATGTTCACTTTTATGGCAATGTTTAACTTCCTGTCTTGGGGTCAATTGATGTGATAGGGTCAAAGAAATGCGAGTTGACATTTAGAAAACCTCGACCTTTAATTGGCAGCAAGTTGTAAAAAAAACAAGATTGCCCATAAATCTATACAGTACATGTGCGGTGAGACATGCATGTCAAGTAAATGAAAGACACACTGTGACGTAAGCTCAGTATAGATGTTACATTATCTCTTGAGAACATGTGTGGTAGGTGGTAATCCATCAGTGACAGCCACATGACGGCATTGTCCAATCACAAACCTCCATCAGCTACAAGACAGGCAGACCTCAGGAGTTAAAGTGACTGGATGAATATATTTCACTACACATAGAACATTTTGACATAAGACAACACTGACAGGCAGAAACAGAAATTCAAAGTATCCTTTCCTGATCGACAACACAGCACTCTTTAGTGTGTTAATGGCTGCTACTTTGTTTTGAAATTCTCAAAATTGAAAGTATTACACTGATTCTTCAAATTAATCCACACATCTTGTAATTATGAGGCTCATACTGTTGGTATTTGAATTGCATCGGAGCCTTGTGTTCTTTGTCTGAAATGTTTCTCTGCAGTGTTATGATAAATCTGTAACCTGCAGTCTCCTGTTGTCACTGCATGCAGTCTCTCTATAAATGGAAACAATAAAAGCCTTGGTTGGCACAAAGTGTCCCAGAAACAACATAATCAGTGAGGCGATTAAAAGTACAAAACATTTGTACTCTTAATGTGTATAAACAACAGTATATGGATATAGCTTGACATATTTCTAATCTCAAATACTTACTTGTTACTCTATAGACAATAAGCGACAACAGAATTTATAATGTATAAGTACATTGCAGTTGCTCCCTGTATAATCTCAAAGTAATGTTTGTAAAATGTTTTCATCTTCAGACACACAGTTCAATCAGTGAGATGAGCAGCTTTTTCTTCCCGTTTGTAAAACTGAGAGAATAATGAATGCACTTTCACTATCCGACGTATTTATGATGCGCCAGCGGACGTCATGAATGTGCGTCTGCTGCTGTGGGGAAACTATGGAAACTACAGTTTTCTATACAGCGGACTACAACATGGATGTTTAAAAAGAACGAGGGACTACTGTAAACTCATCTGCAGTGCTTCTCAAAGTGTGGTCCGCGGACCACTGGTGGTCCGTGAGCGCCCCCTAGTGGTCCGTGAGTATATTTGTAAAATTTCACATTTTAAATAAATACATTTATTTAAGTTTTTCGCACTCTCGCGGGAATATCTCCGCAATGGAGCAAGCTTAAGTTTCACTTTCGATTGCATGATATAGCCCAGATAAACACCTTCGTCACACATGTTGCCACTTGTTTGTACAATTTTCAGGCGATTTGTAAAAAACGATGTGTTTTTGGATATTTGTGGAGTTAGGTGGTCCGCGAGTGTTTTTTTATTGGTTAAGTGGTCCTTGGTATGAAAAAGTTTGAGAAACACTGATCTAGAGACTCTGCACCGTGCTCTGATGCTGTTGTTTTATGCTTTATGAATGTGGACAACAGAGAAACATATTCTTCATGACCAAAGTTGGAATTGAAATAAAAAAGAAAAGTGAAACTTATGCTCGTCACCCTCTCCCTCCGGTCCACATTAATACAAATGATCCCAATACGTATTATTGTATGAACTAAAGATCTTAAAATCTATACAAATGTATTTATTATAAACGTTAGTCCTTAACATCTATCACTGTGTATATCACCATTCAAACATCTTTAAAAGTTGAACAAACCCCACACAGCTCAGTAAAGACTGTGAAATGTTGACTTTATTTGATCATTTCAGTAAAAACTAACGTTCATATTTCTCTTTTTGATTATAATACTGATGAACGTTCAGAACAAAGCACTTTGGCAACTTACCACATACGTTTTAAAATGCTTAATAAGCACCGTAACTTTCATGATATCATTTCTCGGTCATAGTCGGTTGTTTCCGTGAACGGCCGACTGTTGAGTGACGGCAAATGCTGCGGCTGCAATGCATTGTGGGGCAGCATTTTCTCCTCTCTTTTCGGTTAGGGAGGTCCAGTGGTTCCTAAGCTAAAGGAGGTTATAAAGGAAGTTTGAAACCTCCTTTCCTTTCATTTGGAGAATTGGAACGGCACTTATCATGGCTGCCAGTGACGTACTTCCGGGTCATTTCACTTGGTTAGGAAGGTTCCTAAGCTAAATTGACTATTGGAATGGGCCCGAGGAGGGGGATTTGATGAAATGAGAAAGGGCCCTGGTCTCTTGTGGAGCTTCCTTTTCAAGCTCCCGCTTTTTGTTCTCAAAAAAGCAAACGCCATTTCATCATTTTTTCCTCAAGGATGCTTGGATGACTGCATATGTTGATGAGAGCTGTCAGAGTATGGATAAATAACCATGTAAACTTCTTTTGGCTTTCGATTTGAAGGATGCAAGTTCCTTGAGACAAGCAAGTCCCTTTTGATCATGCTGTATATAGGGTAAACCATCCTGTAGAGAGAGAACACTTTATAGTGGTTATTACAGTAGCTAAGAGCTGTGCAGTTGCAGTATGACACCTGTTTGCGTGATATATCCTTACACTCATCTTGAAATAAAAAGTTGGTGACATGAAGATGTTTGATGAGCAGGAGAGTTTTTTACTTATTGAGGACATACAATCTGTTAGATGTTCTCAGAAAGTCGTGTTTTCAGAAAAGGGAATCAGGGGAGTGGCGTTAAAATAGTACTTGATATAATATGCATGGTTGCGCTAGGGCTGGGTGAAATGACCTGGACCGGACCTGGGGAATAGTGTGCTGGAGACAATTCCCGGAGACGCTGCTGGACTCCATTAGGATTCTGCAAGGTTGTTCCGACTTCACCTGAAATGGCTTTTATTTCAGGGCTGCATTTCCTGATATAAAGACTCACCATTAATACTGATGAGGATTTCAAGATGTCAAGGCTTTTATTGTCATTCGTTCATAGCTGCAGTGTAGTTATGTCGATGAAAATCTTAGGACCCAGGCTCCTCCAACAGTGCAACACAGTAAAACAGATAAAATAGTGCAAGTAAATACAATAAAATAGAATAGAAGTGCTATCAGTGGACATATTTAAACACAGAACTCACAGTAAGAAAAGTTCAAATGAGATGTTTTTGTAGCGCCCAAAACACACAAGTTAACC